CCCTTTTTTTTTTTAATATATCTTTATGGATTTCAGAGAGAGGAAAGGAAAGTGGGAGAGAGAGAGAGAGAAACATCAATGATGAGAGAGTCATTGATCGAGCCCGCAACCCCAGCATGTACCTTGACCGGTAATCGAACCCCAATCACCTGGATCCTAGGTCGATGCTCAAATGCTGAGCCACGCCCAGCAGGGCTGATTAGACTCCCTTGATTAATTGCTAAAGTTTTTTTCTCATTTCTCTACTAAATAATTTATGCATAAAGTTACCACCAGTTATCACCATAGCTGTTAATAAGTGAATATTGTTGCTAATTGTGGCTGCAGATTTGATACTAATACCAGATTTTTTTTTCTCCCCAGGGGAAACAGAAATGGTTTATGAAGCAGAGCACAGAAGAATCGAGTATTGGAAGGAAGCTTTCAGATCATAAGTTAAATAATACACCAGATGCTGACTGGCTTCAGCTCAAGCCTCTTGCCGGTAGACAACAGTTCCGACTAAAGAGAAACTTTAAAACATAACAATTGAAATATAGCTTCTAAACTGTATCTGGGTTATTTGAAATTTGTCTTTGTGGCTTCCCTAATTTTAGTTTCTAACTTGAATTTTCTTAATTGTGAGTATATCTTAATTGTGCTGTTGTTAGTTTTTTGTTCATTTCAGCCTTATTTATACTGGAATTAATTTTATTACAGGGCAAAAACATTGTACTTTTAATTATACTACAGGGCGAAAACATTGAACTTTTTTTACTTTACAGAAAACAAAGAATGAAACAAAAAGGCTTTGTAAGTGGTAGATTAGTGTAATTTTTTTTTTCTTTTTTAAATATATATTGATTTCAGAGGAAGAGAGAGGGAGAGAGAGAGAGATAGAATCATCAATGATGAGAGTCATCGTTGATTGGCTGCCTCTTGCACGCCCCCGACTGGGGATCGAGCCCGAAACCCGGGCATGTGCCCCAACTGGGAATCGAACCAGATCTGGATCCTAGGTCGATGCTCAACCGCTGAGCCACGCCTGGCTGGGCAGTGTAAATTTTATTTCTTGGCAATGTAAGATCTTTGTGCCCTTCACATGTGATTGGTTTCCTATGGAAAAGGGAGAATCAGCCTTTGCACTTAAAGGAGAATGGGGTCTATACTTAAAATCTCTGCTCATCCACCATCTATTCTGTTGCCTGATAGATGTAATAAGGTGGCTTACAATTTTCAGGGAAACATAAAGAAAATTTTAATCTGATATTTCCCCCTTTGTGTTCCCCCTGAGTGTACCAATGATTTCTGCAGAAAAGAAACAGCCTAGACCCTAACTGTAGACTCTGCCCCAAAATACAGTTTGGGAAGTATTAAGATCTTTGTCACACAATAAATAACTTGAAAACTAGGTAAGAGGCCAACCTCAATTAAAAAACAAAACTTAACAAATTTTGTCATTTATATGAATTTCTGAACTTTATTCTAGTAATGATCTGAGGAGTATTGTCAGATAGGTGGAGCATTGCAAATTATTAAATTTTGTCTTTTTTTTTCTTACATCGTGAGAGAAGGTTATAGTGGGTAAACTTTAAGGTTTGTTCTTTTTCTGAAAAGTTAGGGGTTCATTTTATTATCTGTAAATGCTACAGTAACTTTTCACCCTTTGATTTTCATAGCTGTTCATGATGTACTCCTTAAGTTCCCCAGTATCATCAGCGTTGCCAAGTTTTCTTCTCACTTTGCCTGCTACTCCTTCAGTCCCTTCCATCATCTGGTGTACCTTTTGGGACCCTCAGAACCCAAGTTGGTTTTATGTGTGCTCACAAATATTTATTTTATTTGCTCTTATATACTTATTTACTTAGTGACTTTTAAAAGACATTCACTTAAGAAATGTTGAGTACAATGCTATTCTCCCTCTGTTTAAATTAGCAAATATGCATTCATTTACTTGTTGATAAAGCATATTCTTTGCTGTTGTAAATGTAGGAACTGATGACTCGGTTGTTTCTGAAGATCGACTTAATGAAACTGAGCTGACAGATTTAGAAGGCCAACAGGAATCCCCTCCTAAAGCTTACCTCTGTGCAGAAGAGGAGAAAATAGTGGACCATGCTCACAGTGATGGATTCCACGCCGCTGACGAGCACGACCTGCACGCTGCTGCGCACAACCACCTCGACGAGAGCAAGACTGCGCTGAGGAAGCATGACCATCAGTGGCACCACAAGCACTCCCATCATTCCCATGGTCCCTGTCATTCCGGGTCAGATCTGAAGGAAACCGGAATAGCTAATATAGCTTGGATGGTAATCATGGGGGACGGCATCCACAACTTCAGCGATGGGCTGGCCATTGGTAAGCTCCCTGGAAACTTGGGTTCTAGTTTGTTGTTCTTTAAGACTTTCTTCTACTATTTCAGTATTAACCTTATGAACTGTAATATATAAGATTAAAATGTGGAGCTTAACAAATATACTATTATATATTACTCCTGTCATTTGGTTTTTCTAAAGGCTATGTTAATATTTTTGATGAGTTTAGTTGGGGGCATAAAGGTATAATTTCAGTGGGTTTTTCTTTGAACGTGTAAACAGATGTTTGTTTTTTTGTTAATCCTCCCCCGAGGATTTTTTTCCATTGAATTTTTTTTTTTTTTAAGAGAGAGTGGGAAGGAGGAGGGGAGGGGGGAGAGAGAGAAATATTGATGTCAGAGGGATACGTTGATTAGTTACCTTCCACTCGCACCCTGACTGAGGCTGGGATCCAACCTATAACCCAGGTACGTGCTTGATTGGGAATCAAACCCGAGAGCTTTTGGTGCACAGGCCGACTCTTACCACCGAGCCACACCAGCCAGGGCTTCTTTTTTTTGTGTGATTCATTTATTTGTGGGTTTGTAAACATTTAAAAAAATTTTTAATTGAATTTATTGGGGTTATAATATACTTCTTTAATAATTTTATTCAAGACATTACCATATTGAAAAAGCTACCTTAACATTATATTTTCAAATACATTTACACAAGCCTGAATGAGAACAAATTAATTGCAATTTTGGATTTAATAATTTTTTTTACGTCTAAAAAGATGAAGAAAAATTTTATAATGTTAAAGAATTTGCCCGGCCGGGTGTGGCCCAGCAGTTGAGCATTGACTCTAGGATCCAGGAGATCATGGTTCAATTCCCAGTCGGGGCACATGCTCCGGTTGAGGGCTTGATCCCCAGTCGGGGGCGTGTAGGAGGCAGCTGATCAATGACGACTCTCTCATCATTGATGTTTCTGTCTCTCTCTTTCTCTCTCCCTCTCTCTTCCTCCCTCTGAAATGAATAAAGGTATATTTAAAGAAAACGAATCCATTGTACTAGATTCAAATATATTATATTAGAATCTTGCTAATGAAAACTGGTATTGCCAGTTTAGGAGGACAATAAATGTGATTAATACATGATTTTCTTTGAAATCCAGACTCTATTAAATAATTACTCAGAAGTAGACTTCAATTTGATATCTTTCAGAAAGGAAAGATCATATTTTTGAATCCACAGTGGCTGCCAATGTTCTACTAGTAAAATGAGAGGCATTTAATTTTAAAACGTATATTTTTAAACGTATAATTTTAAAACATATGTTTTTATTGGTTTCAAAGAGAGGAAGGGAGAGGGAGAGAGCGATAGAAACATCAGTGATGAGAGGGTCATTGATCACTTGCTTCCTGTGCACCCCCTACTGGGGATTGAGCCTGAAACCTAGGCATGTGCCCTGACTGGGAATCAAACCGTGTCTCCTGGTTCATAGTGCCATGCTCAACCACTGAGCCACACTGCCCTGGCAGAATTAGATGCATTTTTTACTAGAATTACATTTTACTAGTAGAGTTAAATGCAATTTATGCCTCTGACCTCAGTCTTCAAGGCAGTCAGACAAATAATTCTTTGTACCACTTGTGCTCTAGGCCCAGAGAAGTTTGGATAAGGATATTAGCCATTTAACTATCTATAAATGACCTTATATGAGTAAAATTGAACATCAAACTACCACTCAGAGATTGAAATACTGAAAACCATTACTACTTCTAAGCTATTAGTGAGTTAAAAGGTTACAAACTAAAAATTTTAATTTAGTAGGTAATATTTCTTTCACTGAATAGCTCTTTTTCTGGTTGTCAACACCTGCTGAACCTCACTGTATGTTCAAAAACTATAGTTTTAAGGTAAGTGAGTCTCCCATATATTACGTAATTTAGATAGGCAAAAGAGACTGCACTTTCATTATTAATGAAAATGGAAAGATAGGAGATCAGTAAAGGTCACTTACTATTTTCCCCTCCCTCATCTCAGGAGCAGCTTTCAGTGCTGGGTTGACGGGAGGAATCAGTACTTCCATAGCTGTCTTCTGTCATGAGCTGCCACACGAGTTAGGTAATGTAACCTTTAAAATTTTACCATACTTCATCAAATCTAAGACTTCTTCAGTTATAAATGCATCCAAATTTTAGAAGTAACAAAGCATAAAAAGTGGCTGATGGCAAGTACAGTGTCATTATTTTCTTATTGTATAATTTTTGTGATATGCTCCTAAAAGTGTATTGTTTTGTATTACGTATTTTTAATTTATGTAAACAGTATTGTTATATCCCATTCTTTTTTTCCCTTATGTTACTAATCATTGTTTTTAAACTCCATCCAGGTTACCATGAGTTAATTTAATATGTAGCTTCTACCCAGTGCTCAAAGGTGTTGCATTTACCACATTTTACATATTTAGCACCTAGTATTAGACCAAATGGCCTCATATTCTAGCTGCCTAGGCTCCTAGGACAGAGAGAGCATAAAGAAAGTACCCGTCTTCCTTCTCCTGAGGTGACAGAAAAGGCCTTGGCCCTTGTGTCCATCAAAAAGGTAGGAAGTTGTCTGCTGACCAGAACTAAAGGAAGATCAACAACAGCAGCAAAACAAAACGTGGTGGAGCCTAATTGTTGCCTTCACGGCCCAGTAATGGGGCACTTTGATAAAACAGGGCCAGATGGATATCTCTTCTTTGATTCAAGTACTCGTTCTTACTTGGAGAGGAACAGAATATAGAGAGAGACATAGAAGCTTCTTCCTGAGAACTTAAATCAAGGGGAAAATCCATCCTGTGCAGGCTGAGGTAGAAGCATGGCAGGTCGATGGGAGGTCCCCTCCCGACTTAGTAGGTTAAGGTGTTAGCAGTACAGTATAATATGTCACATTCCAGGATAATTAAGGAGGAAGTAAAACTGTCTTTATTTGCAGATGACATGCTATTGTATAGAGAGAACCCTAAAGATTTCGCTAAAAAATACTAACTAAAAGTAATATATCTTGAATCTTGATTAGCTAACTCAGGCGGTTCGGTGGTTTTTCAGGGGATGAAGTAAGTCATTTTGCTACCTAGTAATACCAGGGGTTGCGTCCAATTTGACATAGTTTTACCTATGGTACATTTTTTCATTGAGCATTAAGTAATGCTCCTTGTAAAGCCCTATTTTGAAATTATAAAAGACTTCTATAGTCTCATTTTGTATTCTCCAACCCCTTGCTAAGTGAAATTGTCCCTTTAGCACAATTGGTGGGTGAATTATTGAAAATATGGCCAGGAAATTTGTAGAGGAAGAAGTTAGAGAGCTCTTTCTTTAAAGGAAGCTAAGAAAGAAAGGTCAGAGGAAATTAAAACTCTGTGGGAGAGAAGAGGTGAAAGCTGATATTGTTGAATCCAGGCTTCACCCGGGAGAAGTAAGTATTTAGGATCCACGGAGAAAAGGTGTAAGGAGATAATATTAGATGGAAACTGGAGAATGGCAATTTTGAAGCCATTGGTAGATAATCTCCTTAGGTATATTATCTTAATTTTCCCAAATAATGTTGCAGTATGTAGTTTGTAGCAGTTTCTTAGAACATGCAAAAATAATGCCTTGCACTAATTTCTTTGTTAACTTAGTTAACAGGTCACATATTTTTCGTCAAATATTTTACGAGAAAGAAGCCCCAGAATCCTACCTTACCTTGCATATGCTAAGTGTTCAATAATTAAGTGAATGTATGTATATTTAGTAACTAAAAAAAGTTTGTTATAATTAGTAAAACTATTAGTTTGACCCTTTAGCTCCAAGACTTTTATTTCTTACAGCATTTTGCTCTTCTAGTAACCTCTCTCTCTAAGCTAGCGATTTTCAACCTTTTTCATCTCATGGCACATAAACTAATTACTAAAATTCTGTGGCACACCAAAAAATACATTTTTTGCCGATGTGACAAAAAATATAGGTATAATTTTGATTCATTTACACAGGACACCTATTGTGTTGGCTGTTGTCATTTTTTTATTTGACAATCTAAGGGAAAAGAGGTCAGTGCCCCTGCCTAAAGTGTCAGGTATTGCATTATTTTAAAAACTCTTGCGGCTCACTGGTGGAAAATCACTGCTCTGATCATTTTTCCCTAGTGTTCCAACGTTAGACAGATAAGTGAAAAAAGTCTTATTTTTTACGTATTTCACATTTTCAGAATTAAGATTTAACGTTTTTCTAGGAAAAACGTAAACAGCATGCAATATAATATATTCAGAGCCTGTTACCTCTGTTCTTACTTAGGTCATTTCCCTTTGAAAAAAGAACAAATCATAGCACAGAGCTTTGTTTCTCACAAAAAGAGTAGTGTTGTGATTTTCTTGATTTTTTTTTTTTTGTCCTTTTAAAAATTTTTTTACATTTCATGTTGTATAGTAAAATTGACCTTGCTCTTTGATGTAGTTTTTTTGATGTGCTACCTTTTGAATTTCAAGGTGTATATAGATATGTGTAACTACCACCGCCGCCAGGATACGGAAGAACTCCATCATCCTAACAAGCCCCCTCACGCTCTCCCTTTATAGTCACACCCCTTTTCATCCCTGCTCCCTAGTGAACACTGAAGAGTCTCCATCACTATAGTTTCATCTTTTTTAGACTACCATATACGTGGAGTCATATATAACCTACTGTCTTCAGTATCATGCTTTTGAGATTCACCCAAGTTTTTGTGTGTATAAAGGTTTAATTTCGTAAGTAAAAAATTTTCATAACAAGATTCCAGTTATTAAAGCTTATCTTTTTATATCATGTAATTTTGTTTTTTATTCGTATTTTCCTAAATTTGTGTAATTTCTTATGGTTTTAAAACTCTCACTTATGTCTTAATTGCAGGTGATTTTGCAGTTCTTCTTAAAGCTGGCATGACAGTAAAGCAAGCCATTGTGTACAACCTCCTGTCTGCCATGATGGCTTACGTCGGCATGCTCATCGGCACAGCTGTGGGCCAGTACGCCAACAACATCACTCTCTGGATCTTTGCCGTCACTGCTGGCATGTTCCTCTATGTAGCCTTGGTGGATATGGTAAGATCTTATTTTACATTTCTGTTGTTACACTGAATCTGTAAGTAGAACACAACTTCCAAAAATGGAAGAAATCTTTGGATGTAGTTTGAAAGACTAATATTTTCAGAAAATATAACCCATTTTAAAGACGCGATATCCTAAATCTATTAGGGAAAGATACTTAAGTAGGAAAGATATTTAAGATACTTCAATTGAAAACTAGTTGAGATGCTAAAGATTTTTGACCAAATGATGTTACTGTTCAAAGTAATCATCAGTAGCATTTAGAGATATAATTACAGGATTAGTATATTACTATGAAGATTTTGTAATTTGGGGGTGGAAGTATTTTGTTAAGAAAATGGCAAACAAGAAAGAGATACTGTACCTCTTGGGTAAGCCAGTCTTCTGCAGAAAATTATATTCCAAGGGATTCATGTCATTTCCCGTATTTCTAACTGTAGGCCTGAGGGCCCCGTCCCCTACCCACCTCTCCTCTACTCCTCTCTCTCTCGTTCTACCCACCATCACCCTCCCCTTTTAGCTGCCCCCTGCTTTTGCCCTTGTCCCGACACCACAGCACTGTGTCAACACACCAGCTGCAGTGATCTTTTCAGTGATGCTTCCACGATTAGACCGTGTGGCTTGTGTATTCAAACCCTCAAGTGGTTTTCCATCTTTTTCAGAGTTAAAGCCCTGAAGTTCTCGTTTTGACCTTGAAAGTGTCCCATCCTCCTTGAGCATTTCCATTCCCTCCCTGCCTCCAGTTTTCCTAACTGCCCTCATTCCCTCCCCCTTTCCCCCAGGAAGCACACGCTGCCTCTTGCTGATCACTCCACCTGGAGTATTTGCAGAGAGGACATTTTCATTAAATTTGTAGACATTTAATAAGTTAGCAACAGTTCCAGCAGTTTTAGTTTGAAGTAACTTTACAATATCCAGATGGAGAGGTATCTGGTTTTAGGGGGCTTTTGATAGCAGCTGTTAATTAACCCATATGGAAGCATTGTTGCATTTTAACAAGTGTGGCCTTACCAGTCCGTACTGGCTGGCTCTTAGCTGTGGTTATGACGAACAGTATGGTGTTGGCATTCGGGAGAGACTTGAATGTGCGGAAGAAACAGTCCCTGTTCTAGCTGGTTATGTGCACATATCTAGAGGGTGTATTTCTGTGAAACATCTTATTAAGGAACATCAATATCAGAAGTTTTTCACCAATAAAAACTTGGGGAAAATAGTCTTCTTACTAGAATCATAGGTAGGAAGTTGCCAGTTTTAGTCTTAATCCAGGGGTTGGCAAACTTTCTGTAAAGGGTTAGATAGTAAATATTTAGGCACTGTGGATGATGTAGTCTCTGTCACAGTTACTCAGCTCTACCATTTGTAGTGCCTTCTGTCACAACGGCCTAACTCTGTTGGACAAGAACAGTAGCCTCCACTAGCTATTGCACAAGACTGCCACAGACTTCTACACAGCATAGATGGCCTGCAGGAAGTGCTTCTTCAGTGGGCCTCGAGATTGTTAAATATACTGTAGCGCTGTCAGAGCATGCTAATTGAATGAACTGTGCTCATTACTTAATAAATAATGGTGTTTCTTCTCAGGCAGGTATTATGTACTTCACACTACATTTCTGCTCCCTAAACCTCAAAACACCAAGGTATTGTTTGGAGTAAAGCTTAGTGACTAAGAGAGTAGCACATCAGTGTCATCTTTCTATAGATAGTCATGGCAAACTAGAAAAACAATAAACAGAGAAGTGAAAGTGAAAATTGGAAGTAGCAGTTCTCTCAGAATTTTGATGAGGTTTGGGTAGAAAGAATTTGTGCTTTAATAATGCACAAGTATTTCTTCAAATCTAATTTACTTAGAAATTAAAGATTTAAGTTTTATACTTTGAACTATGTATTATTCTTAAGTGTTATGCTTTAGAAGTTGAACTATAAACTTTTCAAAGCACCGTACCTTTAAAGATACTGGAAACTTTCAAATGTTTAAAATTGTATCACTACTAAGAGAACAGAGTACACCGTGAAGGCAGTGCCATAACTTGGTAGGAGTTAGGCTGGATAGCTTGGGTACACTGTGTTCTGTGTCTGTTGTTAGAAGGAAACGTGGTACTTAAGGGCAGAGGGGGCCAATTTGGAATCGTCTGTAAATGTCTATCCTTGCTGTCACGTGCAGCTGGAAATGAGAATTTTAAATAGAAAAGGGTAAAGAAATGATAGTTTTGAATTAGATATCCCAGAAAGGAATCTTTCTCAGTGAGCTTAAGTTGGATGAGTAAATGTGGGACTTGGGTGTTTTTTTCTGAGAGTTATTGACAATAATTAGTTGTCGTATACTTCAGCATAAAGTAAATGTCAGAATTGATAAGGTCATTGGACAGTAAGTAACTTTATAAAAATGAACGCGTATATTATGTGTTTGTTGGAGAGTGAGGAGGGAACAGATTTAGTGTTTACTTAGTACGTAGCCAGAGCATAAAATTTCTTTCTCAGTGTTTGCCTGAAATATGTTATGGTTAGCATTATGTTCAATAAAGTAATTATTCTATTTGTAGCTATGCTTATTAGTGTTCTTAAGTAGAAAAATGTAAAAAAAAATGTATATTTGAGAATATTATACAAAATTGCTTGTGACTATCTACGTGTGTTCTTCCCTAGCTTCCAGAAATGTTGCATGGCGACGGCGACCATGAGGAACATGGCTTCTGCCCAGTGGTGCAGTTCATTCTTCAGAATTTAGGGCTGCTGTTTGGATTTGCCATCATGCTGGTGATTGCCCTCTTTGAAGACAAAATTGTGTTTGACTTCCAGTTTTGACCATTCCCGGTGATCACTGCGGATTACGAAACGTTACCGTGCAGCTTTGCATCTGTTCCTTGTACTGCGCACGCAGTGCTCAAAGAAAAGTCAGTGGCTTGCACTCCTTACAAGTTCTGTAGGTTCGAGCCGACCCCCAAGACTGGTGCTCTGTGCTGTTTTCTGTGTGTGAAAGGATCTTTTTTAAAAAAAAGTAAACCTTGTGATATAGAAAGGAGAAAATGGGACTCCATGAAACAGTGTTGGAATAGGATTAAGACTTTCAAAAAAATAACCATATAAAACACTAAAGTAGGCTCTTTATTAGTAGAAACTCCTGTGGCTATGCAGAAATAGAAATTGAACCAAAAAAATCACTTAAACTTTAAAATATTTTAAATGGACTTTGGGCAGACTTTTCTTTGTGCTACAAATGACTCGTAGTGTCCTTTAAGTCAGCTGCATATATACACGTGGTTATAGGGATCAACTTGAGGACTTTGAAATTGCTTAAGTAGAGTATAGGACCTAGAGGAAAGCTCAGGCTGCAGTAGAGTATGGATTTAGCTTTGGGAAAAGCCCTTATTCTTGAATCTAGAGTTACTATTTTTGTATATATTTGCATAGTGTTTAAACTCGCAGCCTAAACTACTGAAATTTGTGATTGTATGTGTGAGCTTCAGTTTAATGGAAGATTCATAATGGTTCTTTGTATTAATATTATACTGGTGTTTGGGTGGGGTTTTTGTGTGTTTTTTTTTTAACTTTTTGTTTTGTTTTCGGGTTTGGGGTGGGGATAGGAGGTTGGAGCATGTGGTTAAATGTGTTGGTTTTTTTGGTTATTAAAATTGTAATCCTCTAGAAAATTTCAGAGGTAAAGAACCCAAACGTGGTCTAAATATTCAATTTTCCTACTTTAACAGTACTAACTAGTTATTTGGGAAATTTAAGTTCTAAATGTATGTATCGCTTTACCAGTTTGGCATTGGGACCATACTGTGACTGGCAGTAAATCCAAATGTACCATGTCCATAATCCGTACATGGAGTGTTAAAAAAAAAGTTGTGGGATAATCTCCATTGATACTGTGGCTATCAATATATCTTCCAAGTACCAAGTGACTTGGAAGATATATTTAAATAACTCAGCTGGAATCACTTGATTATTTTGTGCCAAGACACGCTATTGGTGCCTGATAGGGATTAGTCTCTTTTTTAGGTGCCCTGTTCTCCTACCATAATTGTGATTGATTTGTGAGAAGTGCAAGCCATGTTTATTCTGAATTTTGACCTAATAATTTGTAGTACAGTCAGATGCATGTAGCTTTCTGTTTACATCCTGTGCCACATGGTCTTCATTTGTACCAGTTAAGCTGTGTTTTAATTCTGTGCAGGCAGCTTTCTTTTAATCTGCTTGGCTACCGATGTAGCTGCTTTAAAAATCTTATTGTTCAAATACTGGAGAGCCAAACTCTTTCCATTCCATTATAATGCTTTCACGCAGTCCTCCGTCCCCAGTCTCTTCCCTTTTAACTCCACAATTTTACAACAAAAACCAAAACTTTGAGAGCAGCACATGCATCCAGGTATTAAACAGAGTATTGCCAGTATTTCTTTATGCTGTAAGCAAGGGAGCTTAGGGATATTTTCTTAATTTATGCCTGAATTTGAAAAATTATTTCTGGCTTTCTCCATGGTCTCGTATTTTCAGCATTGGGCACTGAATTAGGACAGTCCTCGTCTCATTGCTTGGCCCTTCAAGCAACCAAGCTAAAAGGTGCTGATATTTTATTTAGTACTGCCAAATTCAAGTGATTCAAGTACCTTGCTTTCTGAACCAAGCTGTGCTTATAGTTCATTCTTGGGTTTTTGTATCCAAGGCGGATTCTGCATTCCAGCATTATTAAATCTGCTTGATTTAAAAACATTTATGAAAAGCAACAGTTGGAATATGCTCCCAGTCTTAACCGCCTGATTTAAAGCAAATAGGTCATGCTCAAGTGTATGAAGTTTTATATTTTCTCGAAAATGGTATTATCTTTGTTAGATCTTTTTAACATTTTAGGGGTGTTATACCAGTTGCTGCTAGTATTTTGTTAGGGTTCCACCAGTGTTTGGTTTTCACATCATTCTAAGGTATGATTTCAAGTCTTAATAGACAATCTGAATTCCACTACATTTCTGTTTGGCTCCAACATTCCATTTAGCTTGACCAGTCTGCTTTAACATGCGTTTGTTGGAGGTCATTACTGTTACTTGTACAATGCTGTCACTGTGTGACATCCTTATGAAATTTGGTGTATATCACATTGCATTCAATCAGCTGTGATTATGCTTAGAAATACTGTAGTATCTAGGTGCAGTGTGAATTTTTTTCCATTAACAATAAGTCAGTGGCTTAAATGTGATTATGGTCCTGCAAGGTGATACTTGCTAAAATATCTAAACTTTTTTTTGTTACGACTGAATCATTTTTTTAAAAATTTATAAAGCTGGAAATGATCAAATGCTGTTTTTTTCATTGTCAACAGTGGTGTGTCATTTTATGTATATGTTCCTAATGCTTATGGAACACTCCCAAAATAAAGGTATTCAAAATGAGCAAATATAGCAGAGCATTTTCTTTAGCCTGATCTTTATTTCAGGACATTTCCTTACACTGACGTACGAATCATTTTAAACAAGGCCGGCACTTGCACATTAATAAATTTATAAGTAAGTATAACTTTAGTCAAATTGATTTAAATTAAATAAATTGTTTAAAAAGTAAAATATATTTTCTATTCAATCATGTAACAAGGACTAGGAACAGGGACACAGCGTCTTCTCATTATGAATTAAGCTGACACAGCAGTGCCACCCCCCGTCCGATCCAGTGCTCCTTGGGCTGGTCAGAGGGCAGAGTCATGGCAATCACGAAGTTCGTGGAGTGACCCGTGGTGGACAGCGTTCCTCTTCGCTCACTTGTCTTATACAGCGGAGCAACGTAACTTGGTCGTTCTGGTATATCTGCCCTCTTACACGGCTTGAGCCACATCTGGAAGAAAGTACGTAAAACTGAAGTCAAGGCTGTTGTATTTGAATATATGTACAGTGTTGTTAAAGTTATGTCTGCCAATAGTTTTTATTTTTGTCAGCAGTGCTGTCATTGTTCAAAACATTTAGAGCTCCCAGAACTATCTTCAGAACCGGTGTAGAAACTGAGAAAAAATAGTGGTTTTGGCCTACTCTGTCAAAAAACATTAACTACCCATCACCTCGCCACCATACTTACCTGGGGATGACTTTTGGTGCTTACCAACAGGAGTCAGATATACTTTAAAAAGAAAAAACTGCTACCATTGATGCTCAAAATCATGTTGCCTTATTAATTAAAGGCCAATCCCAAAATATTCTGATAGGATTTTTGTCAGTGATGGCGGAAGTAGATCACCTGCCCATTTTATTTTATTTTTATTTTTATTTTTATTTTTATTTTTATTTTTTAAATATATCTTTATTGATTTCAGAGAGAGGAAAGGAGAGGGAGAGAGAGAGAAACATCAATGATGAGAGAGTCATTGATCAGCTGCCTCCTGCATGGCCCCAACTGGGGATCGGCCCGCAACCCGGGCATGTGCCCTGACCAGGAATCGAACCACGATCGCCTAGACCCTAGGTCGATGCTCAACCGCTGAGCCAAGGCCGGCCGGGCAACCTGCCCATTTTAGGTGCATTTTTTTCTTTTTTAATCCTCAGTGGAGGATATATATATATATATATATATATATATATATATTTTTTTTTTTTTTTTTTT